TAATATCAAACTGCAAAGGATGTTAATTAGTGGTGTAGGTGGAACTGGTAAATCATTTTTAATAGAGGCAATAAATTGCCTAGTTGGTGACATATGGCATCCAAAAAGTGGTGAAATTATGTGTGCTATTGTAGCACCAACAGGTATAGCCACATTTAATGCTAACAGTACATACATTATTTCAGCTACCATTAGAGCATGAGGGAAAGACAGTTGGATATTTTGGCTTTGAATAAACAAGTTCAGAAAAAGATAAAAATGACACCTAAAAATTTAAAAATTATAATAGTAGACGAGGTATATATGGTATCCAATCTAAATGAAGCATACTTACACATGCACTTAGAAGATACATTTGGAACTGATGAATGGTTTGGATCCAAAATTATTTTATTTGTAGGTGACCTCTTGCAATTGCCACCAAATATTGGTAGGCCAGTATTTAAAAAAATTAGCAACAAACCAGTAAAAACTAGATTTATAGAAGCAAATGCAGTTAATATATGGAAAGAAACAGTAGAATATGATCAACTAACAATCAGTGAGCAACATAAAGAAGATAAAACTTCCTTTAAGATGCTTGATTCTGTTAGGCATGGCTGTCTGACTGATGAAACTATTGATACGCTTAAGAGTCGCATATTTAAGGTTTCAATACAATAAAAGGAACAAATCCTCCAATTTGCCTGTTTTCTAAGGTAGATGCCTGCCAAAAAATAAATGAATTAATGTTCGAAATTCTAGAAACTGACAAAATAGAATTAGCATGTGTTGATGTTGTTGATGAAAGTGCCAGCACAGCAAAATTTGACAAAAAACAAGAAAAAAATTAGAGAAACTAAAAGATCGACCAAGCAAAACAGATGGTTTAGAAACTGTATTGTCTTTAGCAGTAGGCTATAGAGTAATGCTACAGTGTAATAATGAAGTGACTCTAGGATTAGTTAATGGTGCCATTGGTACAGTAATGGGTATTTACACCACACATATATGAATCAAATTTGATCATATTAATGTACTTTGTGACATAGAAAGGGTTACATTTAGATTTATGCTATTTAAGAATTTGTATATACATAGAAAACAATTTCCCCTTATACTTTCTTCTGCTACTACTATTCATAAATGTCAGGGCCTCTCACTAGATGCAGCCATTATTCACTTATCAACTGATGTTGTTAGAGATGGTATGGCATAGGCTGCATTTACTCGTGTACGTACATTAAATGGAATACATTTATTATCATTTCATCCTCTCTCTGTTGAAGTTAGTAATCTATGCATTAACGAAATAAACCGCCTCAGAAGTAAATTTCAGAATGACTTACCTCAAATGAAAAAAAGTAAAAGAAAGAAGAGAAAGATTCAAGTGACTAGTATAATTGATGATTGTGAACCTTGTAGTAAGGATGCGAAAGTGTCTGTAAGTCATGTCCAAAGTACCAGTAACAGTACTGTTAGTAGCAATAAATTTAAGAGTATTGATTTTAAAAAGTCTAATCGCCCAAAAAAGAGTAAAGTGTATGATGACAATGCTTTAAATAAGCCTTGCCCAAAGAAAAGAAAAGTTGATATAGACAATAGTACTGACAATACTGCTTTGGTACTGCCTCGCTCAAAAAAAGATGATGAATTAATTGTTTCAATTAATTTAAAAGACCTAAAAACCAAATTTAACGTTAAAGATGATGATAGTTGCAGTAGTCTGATTGTATCTTTGAAACTCTCAAACATTAAATGTAAACCAAAAGATGATAAAACTAAGTGTGTTGTAAAAAAAACATTGTAGTCGTAGCCTGATTGTAAATGGGGCACAAAGGCTTGGGCCTTGGCGGACTCCAGCAATGGGTATCTTTATAACTTTAGAATATATATAGGTTAGTAAATATTATTAATCCCGCATTCTACTGACTTGGTGTAACTGCCATATGATGAGCTGCCTCTTCCTTTGCAGAGCAGCGACATCAAGAACGCCTCCAGCTCCAGCTGGATGGAGTGGACCTCCAGCCACTGGTGGCGGAATTCCAGCCATCAGTGGAGGACATACAGCTACTAGTGTCAGACCTCAAGCCAGGGGTGGAATACCTCCATCCACTGGTGGAGGACCACCAGCAACTGGTGGAGCACCTCCATCAACTGGTGAAGGACCTCCGGCCATTAGTGGAGGACCTCTAGCTATGGGTAGAGGACCACCAGCCACTGGAAGCGGACCTCCATCCACTGGTAGAGGACCACCAGCAACTGATTGAGGACCAACAGCCACTGGTAGAAGACCACCAGAAACTGGTGCAGGACCTTCAGCTACTGGAGGTGGTGGAGGAAGATTAGCACCATCTGGTGGTGGTGGTGGTGGGCCTCCTGCGGGCGGTTGTGGTGGAAGCCCTCCAACTACTGGTGGTGGTTGAGGAGGAAAAGGAACTCCATGATTCTGATCATATATAATCCATAAACTACAAAAAACATAATTAATAAAAAAATAATTTATTCATGAAAATAATACAAAAATTTCAAACCCTACTTTGCAGAAAATGATAACTGGCAGACTACAATGTAAATAGAATTTTAATAATAATATTGCCTCTGTACCTATTCATTGCTCTACTACATTACTATGATGTAATGTAATTCTTGTGATCAATATATATAAGACTTTTCAGCTAGTATTGATTGACTAATGACTATCATCACAATAAAAAATATAATAAAGGATAGTTATTTGGCTAATGCATTCTTTCAATTTTGTGATTCAGTACAATATCAAAAATTAATATTAATGTATATACTTGTTATGAATTGTAATTGGTCTCGCTACGTTACATTTTCTGCAAAGTAGGGTTTAAAATTTTCAGAAATAAATTATTCTTTATCAATTAAAATTTATTATTATTCATTGAACTATTAATTATTATTATGGTTGAACTCAACCCCCTTGTTTCTTTCATTTTTTGACAACCCTACTTTTTCTTACTTTATTTTTTTATTTGTTCGATTGCTATACCTTGTCATTGAGCTGCAAGATACAGTCACTTGTGGATAGTATATATACACAGTAGCTTTTAAAACTTCTGTCTCTTTTTTTCTGACAAAAGTATTTATACGGGTAAGGTAAATGATTACTTTTCAAATATTATTAGCTGGTTTCACACCTCATAGTGGTCCTTACTTCACTTACAATATCATAGTGGTTTTATGTACTGTCGAAATCATCGATATGCACTATGGACTATACGGAAATGTTGATGAGAGCAGTTACATAACTATAGCAATTATTTATAACGAAATAGATTAATTAGATGAATCACAAACATGTAGCTCTGATGTCAGTGTATTAAGCTTGAGGAAAAGTCCCTCATACCTACTTACATCAAAAACTGCTTTGATGCAGCAGGATACAACACATTAGATGCAATATTTGAGATGAAAGACGACATATCTATTTTAGAAATAGAGAAATACATTGACAAACGAAAAAAGCATCAACAATCATGCATGTGACCAAACTATGATGATGCCTCAGATGCTAAGACACCAGTCAAATTTCCGCCTGGTCATCGATAAATAATATCTAATTTAATTACATCAGTCTATGAGTACATAAGCCAGGATCTAAAGGCTCTGGTAGCAATCACCTACTTTATGTAAAAAGCAAGAAACAGTAAAACATCCAGATGTGAGAGTAGATATACCAGTTGTTTCATAAGATAGCACAGGGAAAATATTACATTGCACCAAGAACTACAACACTAGCAGTTTTAGAAGAGGAATTGGATTTTAATATTTTTGTGTCAAAGTTGACATCTAATCCTGAGAAATACAATGCTTCAATATCATGTCTTGTGGAACTTAATATTCAATCACAAGAAATGCTAATGGGGAGCCGTTAACATCCAATTGAAGCAGCCACAAAAACATATAGGAGAAAAGAATTAAATAAAAAGAAGTGAAGAAAGTACACTGCAACAGTTTTTACAAACCATTGGAAAAGCTAACGGCTGCAAAGTATTACCTTCTGTATCTTGTTCTACTGCCACATTATCAAATTGTGAGTCTGTTTGTCCTTCTTACTTGCACCCAAATCCATAACTGTCTTCCTCACCATCTTCATGGCTTGAAACATTACCCAAAAAGTTAGGAACATAACAAGGCAAACTTCATTCAGCATTAAAGTTAATTGGCAATTCAGATAGTACTACATGTATAGCATTTTGCGATTTTGTACCTATATAGCTAATTTAATGTTTGTGGAATTTAATTTTGCTGGTGTAGGTGTGTACTGTTGATACACCCATTAGTTATAATGCTTTGTGGAATTCAATTGTGCATTTTCATGATGAACAGCAAACAGCAAAATTAAATTCCAGCAAATATTTCCAGCTATACGGTAGATCGTCTCCTGTACTTTGTTATCAATCTACATGCAGTTTGTTTCAAAACTAGCATAGGTGTAGGCAGGATTGTAGAAAAGGGTGCGTGAATTGGCACACAAAGCGTGCCAAGAAATTTTGGCCATCTAATTAATTATTCACAGTAGGTGTGGTCTTACATTGTAATTAGTTATTATGAGAAAAGGGCAAAAAATTTCTAAAAATCATGTAACTGTTCCGTGAGTGTATGGCGAGTATGGTCTCTGCCTGTGTACAAGTCTGATTTGCTCCTGCTAGTAATGACGTGAAGAATGCTCTATGTCAATGTGTTGGTGCAATTATTAAACTAAAATAATGGTAGTAACACCAAATCTTAAAATTTTAGGCTGGACCATGGCCCTGTATGGCTCACCCATGGCTACACCTGTACTGCTAGCCTCTGTTTCTCCTTTACAAACCAATCTTCTAAATTCAACAGAAAAACACAACCAACTTCATTTCCACCTTCATGACCTCTGAAACAAACCAAACAAGGTACTTATCCAAGTTATATTGATTACTTACCAATAGAACTAGCTCCATCGTCTCAGGTTTTTCAGTAAGTCTCTCCTAAAGAGGCAATATCTATGAATTGTGTGGACTGGTCTTGAAGGGCCAGAAAGAAAAGAAAACTGGAAGCTGCTAATGCTATCTTAGACAAGAGCACATCACTAATGACTTTAAAATCTTTATCAAAATTGGTTTACTAGTAAATGAAAAAAAAAAGTTAGCTCATGTTATGCAATCAATTAATACTACATCACAAACCAAATTCAGTGCAACAATATCGCAACTATTTCACAAAGTGTGATGCAAAATGAGTAACAAAATTTGGGAAGAAATGATAAGCAGCAATGTCAATCAGATGTCACAGAAAAATTTGGAACACTACTTTCTAATTTTTCTGGATCGATGGTGTATGACCTTATTCTGGCTGAGGCTTTGCCTTTACTCAAAACAATACAACTAATTGTTCAGTCTTCAGTATTCAAAAGTTGAAGAAGTACCATTCCGGTTTTATCAATTACTCCAGCATTTAAGTAAGTATAACTCACCTCTTGTCAGAGCCGCTGAAGATGCAACTAGGATCATTAAGAGAGTAGAGTATGATTCTGTAACAGACAGGTGTGTCGGATTTCCATTGCCATTTGATGAAAATTGTGTACCACAACCTGATACCACCACAGCGATCTCATTTGAAAGAATTGAGGAACTTTTAAGGGAACAACCTATCTCCAACTATGCCTGCCTTTACTCTGCCACAACTATAATGGAAGGTGTGCCATCACTTTCACTTGCTTGCATTGGGAGTAATAAAGAATTTACTTCAGATCAAGTGCTTTTGTGATGGAAGTACATATATAGTCAGCTGGCTCTACAAAGGATCCGGGTGCTTAGCTTTGCTTCAGATGCTGATTCTTGTTTACTAAGGGCCATGAAAATAACCTATTGATTGGCACCTGATGCTGCTTCATTAAGTTTAAACAAGACCTTGAAATGCCTTGATGCTAACCGTGCCTTACAAAAGTGGCTCTGTAGCAAGCTATATCTCCTAACATGCAAACAAAACATCGTGCACCTTGAAGTAAAATTAAAAGCATTACTGCTATAACCGTCAATTGTTCCCTCATTAAGTAGATTTATAGCCAGCAGTTTATGTCTTCTCATACTTGTCGGGAAAAAAGGTATAGATAACCATGGATTATGACACAGAAATCTTGACCACAAAGACAAGCAGAATATTTACGCGGTGGAGCACATCATTAAAGCATCCCATTTACTGGACACCTTACAACTGGGACCAAGGCCTAAATTACTTTAGAGCAATCATATATGTAGAGTTTTTTAGAGTAATCCATGATAATCACACCTTTCTCATGACATGAACACTCAGCTCATCAAGTGTACATTGGGAAAGGTATCTTCCGAAAATGTGAGTCTGATTCCAACTAGACAATAGAGAAACATCCAGGTTTTTCATACTGAAATAAATGTTAAATATTTATATACAATAGGTTTTAGATTATTATAAAAATAAACAATAGGCACTGTTTTGTGCAAAATCTTTACAATTATCTTTCATTTAAACTATTAAACAGTAAAATCGGCATTATAATTTGAGTTGCTTCGAAAATCTTGATGCTCAAACGAGCTTTATGTCACCAAGAATACGCAAGACATAGGTAAATAGAATTACGGTAGACCTTATTCAATTATTTATTTTTACTAAAAATTAAAAAAGATAATCTAATCAAAAATGAATAAATGGCACCGTTTGATACATTATTATTGTAATGGTGCACGCATAAATTAGCATAATTAAATTCAGTTTTCCAGTATCCTATTTACTTTTATCTGAAAATTAATTTGTGGGAAAATACATGGACCCATTAGCTGTGTTTTCAGGCAAACATTTTATCCATTATTTTTAAAAATATAGTTGCTGTGATGAATTACTTCAATGATGCAGCTGCTGGAGTGGATCCATTTTTGGCCTCGTACTGCATTGTTGTACTTTCCAATTGGCAACTTAAATTTTTAAAAGTTTGTATGTGCCTCATAATATATAGGCGGTAGCCTATATGTAGGATTGAGGTTGGTTTTTCAAGATGGCGGCCAAATTTACAATTTTCAAATGTTAATAACTTTTTTATCTTACATTGTACAGCCTTATAAATGGCCTAGATGGGCTCTCCATCAATGAGCGATTCTCCTAGTACCTTTAAAGTGGCCTGTACTGTAGCAAGAGCATTTCTAGAGAACAGGCCCAAATTCAAATTTCTGAAAAATTCTTCAGACTATTTCTTCTTTCATTTTCTATCAACACGGAAATCTTTTAAACCAGAGAACCGCTCGAGTTGGCGTTTACATCATTCCTTTGTGCTTGGGTGAAGGACTGGACAAGTGGTTTCAAAAAGAAGCAAGGACAGAGAATAAAGTGGAAGACAAAATCCAGCTGCAGACACCGCTTGGGTTTGTGGTTTGACGCCATTTTATTTCATGTGCACATAATCAGCATGAATATAATTAACCTAACCACACAATCATAACAAAATGTAATTTATATATTTAAGAAAAAGAATGGAAACAAGTAAATAAAAAACATTAAAAATATGTGACCCGATATGAGAAAACCAGGCTATCTGCGGGATTTTGGTAAAATCAGTTTTTGGTACTCACAGATAGAGAAAAAAATTTCCTTTCCACCAATATCCCGTTTATGACAATGCGCATTAAAATTTGGAAGTTAGGGACGCTGTTTGGACGATTGCTCTGGAATACTAGTACAGAGAAAAAGCCATTTTAAGTTATTTTCAATGTTTCCGTGTCATGCCCGTTCACAAAGTAAATGAAACCACGCCCACCACGTAAAACCACACCCAAATCAATTAATAAACGGGGAATGAAGAAAGAAGCACTTTTGACTCGCTTTTGACAGCATTTGAACTATCTTTTCTTGTATAATGGACATCTTAAGAGTTGTCTAAAGCCCTGCCATTCATGGTGACTTCAAATACTATTAAGTTTTTTCATTACCAAGTTATAGAGTTATTATAACATCTTCTAGTGCTAAAAGTCATTTTTATGGAC